CGCCCACTAGTGGGCGGTAGGGACCAGGTTGACTACCACTGGACTAGACTATCATGTCCATCCTCCATAAACAAGCACATGTATACACACGAAGAAAAGACATTGACAATCCTGCCTTTACAGATATTCCTCCACTTACAACCACAACTGGGCCCAGAAACTTGGCTGTTGACTAAAGTGGTCATTGAGAAGTAGGGAAGTAACTTTACTTTCTAAAATTTATAAAGCAGAGTTACAGCAAACCCCTACCGACCACCATGAAAGCTGGAACGTCCACTAGTGGGCGGTAGGGACCAGGTTGACTACCACAGGGCTAGACTATCATGTCCATCCTCCATAAACAAGCACATGTATACACACGAAGAAAAGACATTGACAATCCTGCCTTTACAGATATTCCTCCACTTACAACCACAACTGGGCCCAGAAACTTGGCTGTTGACTAAAGTGGTCATTGAGAAGTAGGGAAGTAACTTTACTTTCTAAAATTTATAAAGCAGAGTTACAGCAAACCCCTACCGACCACCATGAAAGCTGGAACGTCCACTAGTGGGCGGTAGGGACCAGGTTGACTACCACTGGTCTAGTCACAGTATCCGAAGAGAACCAAGCTGCTTGCCCCTGGCTTCCAGAGGTACAAAGGGCTGGCCGGACAAGGGGATAAGTTAGCAGGAAAAGCGGAAGGTTCAATCACCCTGTGTGTTTTTTTCTAGTTCAACCCGGAGCTGGTCCTGGTGTCGGCAGGTTTTGATGCTGCTCGAGGGGACCCATTGGGGGGGTGTCTCGTGACCCCAGAATGCTACGCCCACATGACCCACCTCCTCTTGGGTCTGGCAGGAGGGAAAGTAGCCGTTGTGCTAGAGGTAGGTCAGGAGTCTTGTCTTTATTACCTGGGAGAGCTCTGGGAGGCTACTTTTGAGTACGGCTGAGTACACAGAGTGAGAAATCATGAGGAAGTTGGGCCTGGAGTTTCGGGGGGAAAAGTAAGTGCGGGTAGTCCTCGAGTTACGACCACAGTTGAGCCCAAAACTTAGGTTGCTAAGTGAACCGTTTGTTAAGTGAGTTTTGTCTCATTATACGACCTTTCTTGCCACCTTTGTTAAGTGAATCGTTGCAGTTGTTAAGTTAATAACACGGCTGTTAAACAAATCGGGATTCCCCATTGACTTCGCGTGTCAGAAGGTCGCAAAAGCTGATCAAATGACCCCCCAAGGCACGGCAACCGTCATAAATATGAACCAGTTGCCAAGCATCTGAATTTTGATGTGACCATGGAGGTGCTGCAATGATCAGGTGAACAATGGTTGTAAGTCACTTTTTCCAGTGCCGTTGTAACTTTGAATGGTTGAACCGCTGTAAATCGGGGACTACCTGTATCCTCCTCCACTCCTTTTTTGTTGTTTTTGTTCTCCATTTCAAAGAAGAAAAAGGCTACAGAACCTATAATTGCCATAGAGTTGCAGAGGGACAGACATCCCGATTTCTATGAGGAAAGTTCAAATGCAGCATTTGAAAACAATTTTGTTGCAAGGAAGAGGAGAAAGAGCCAAGGTGGCGCAGTGCTTAAATGCAGCACTGCAGGCTATTTCAGCTGACTGCAGTTCAGCAGTTCGGCTGTTCAAATC